TCATAATATCTTACTGTAGATTTATAATATCTGTATTGCGAAGACGAAATAGTGCGATTGCGAAGAGAGAAACGTTGTTAACAACAAATGAAAAATAAAATTATGAATCTACAGCATAGAAATTATGAATTTATCCCTGTGTTTACCATGCGCATGGTGAACACGTTTCCACCGCATAATTTGCGGTTGGTATGATAGTGGGCCCACAAGTATTTGTCAAAAGAATAAAATCATTTCAGAAGAGGAATATATGGAGATAAATGAGATAATATTAAATGCTAGTGTAACAGGTTTTGGTCTCACAAATATGAAATATCTTGCACCATCGTTAATTCTCTAAGAAGTTACTATATCTATACAGTCTGTCAAAATGTATCATATCTAAATGTTTAATGAAAATTATATTTATAACTAGTATTTTACATGTGCGATGCGCAAAAATCAATACCCTATATTAATACTCTGTATTAAAATTTTAAATTTATTTAGATTTTAGATATTTATATTATTGTATAATGATAATAATAATTATTATTATTATGTAAAAAAAGATAATGTTCATAACTATTGAAGCACAAAGAGCCAATACCCCACCACATCAAGGTTCAATCCTGTAACCTTCCCTCAAGAAGAGCCCTAGAGGTGCCATCTAAGCACAAGATGCTTAACATTAAAATATTATATAGTACAACTCTTATAGCATAATGTATATAAAAAAAAAGTAATAAAAAAATAGACATAATCGAATGGTATAACTTTCATTCACACTTAATAATTTTTAAATTAGATTAGATTACTTCAACAAATTTTTTTTTTGTGGGGATAATAATATTTTTGGTCCGTCAATTGTTAATTATTATACAATTTAGTCTCTCATATTTAATTTTAGTCATTGTGGTTCTCAAGATCAATTGTTTTACTATATGGTAAAATTAGTCTCTTAATGTGCAAAATAGTTAAATAGTCAATTTAATCCTTTAATTTTTTACTAGATTAGTTGGAACAATGGGATATCTATTTGTGTTTTAATTTTCTTTTTAAAATTAGTTACCATATATAATTATTACGGAGTACTTTAAACAAATAATACTAATGTACCAAGAGAAAAGATTGTGTTAGTAACTCAGTAATACAAAACAAAAACAAAACAAAAAAACAAAAAAAAAAAAAAAAAAAAAAAAAAAACATTATTAATTGTTAGGCCGGACCTCATTCAGGAACAAAATCAGTTATTCCCCATTTCCTAGCAGTGACTCGCTGATTATTAATTCAGCCGTAATAAGCATTATCAATGTTGATTATTGGTTCAAACCTAAAAAAAAAAATAAATTAAAATAAAGATGGTTCAAATGTTGGGTTCAATGGTTAAATGAATCGGATCTGGAACGCCGTTCCATGATTTATGATCTATTTTTTTATTCATAATTTTAATAAACTGAAATTCAAATGTTGGGTTCTAGATCTGAATTATAACTGGAAACTTTTAATTCGATTGCTATATTGTCTGGTTCAATTCAAATCAAACCGTGGTCATCCCTACGTATACGCAATAATTTGTTGAAGAAAAAAAATAAATAAAATGTTCATTTTAAAGATAGAAATGTCATTTAATATATCAGGCCGGGAGAAAAATCGTCACTTTTAAAATAATTGAGGGGACGAATGTATTTACATAAATAATTTAAGGGGGAAAAGTACTATAAGTACTATAAGTATATAACTCAGGGGGAAAGTACCATTTTTCCTATAAAATACATTACCATTTTATCGCCTACTTGTATACCTCCCCCAAAAAAATAAAAATAAAAAATACACACACTACTCCTAATAACTCTACAAATCAAACCTAACTATTAACTTTAATTCTCTTATTTGGAAGGATGCTAGCTCTTACTTTTTGTTCGAGTGAATAAAAACTTAAAGAAGTAAAGATTGCAAAATTACAAAATTATCACTCTTATATTTTTAAGCATTATAAATTTTTTAATGATTTCATCATGTTAGGATGAAAAGTGTCGCATTTGTAACAATTCGATGGTAAAAAGTGACTATAGAACAAATCAAGGAGTGTGACATTTATTATGCTATAATTTAAGAATTTAAAAAGCTAAGTTATTTTTCCTAAACTATAAGAGGCTCTTGATCAATGGGTTTTTGGGGTTTCTTTGCTTATTTGGAAGATAAAGAATGTGAGGTGGAGGAAAGAGAAGATATGAGAAAAAATAAAATTAATTTGTGGGAGAAAAAGTTTTTGTGAGCTTAAAAAAAAAAAAAAAAGAATCTCTCGTACACTAATTGCAATTGTTATATCGTGCACTAGAGCGCACAATGTATTGTGTGTCCTAGAAATCCCCTGTTTCTTATGTAAATAATTGTATATTAGAATACACATAAACTCTTAAAATAATACACATAATCTAACATAGTACATAATACACATGAACTAACATAATACACATAACTCGTAGGAAGCGTTTGTTGGGGTTATATTGGGTTGGTTATTTAACATGCCTATGTTTGGTTGAAGTTATATAATATTCCTTTGGAATCAAACATTGCCTCCACATCCGATTTTTTTTTTCTTTTTTGAGGGAATGTGATTACCTTGCTAAACATAGGTAATGTTAGATTACCTTGTCATTTTACATAGCCCAGTTTTTACCAAACACAGAAATCTAACATTCCCTAAGGTAATCTAACATTATGTGAACCAAACGCCCCATGTATTGTGCGCCCTGATGCACGATATAATTTGCCCACTAACTGGGCGCCTTAATAAGGTTTTTTTCCAATTTACTTCTTGTCAAATTTTTTCTCTTTTTTTCAGCTTTTTTTGTTCGATCCCATTTTTCCTAGAATTCTATTACATGTACTTCTTAACTTTACTCTCTAAATTTTACTCCTCGATGTGGCGAATTTTGATAAATTTTTTTTTTTTCATATGTGTCCTAATACAAGTGTCTACATTAAGATTTAATATGTTGGAGTACAAGTTGAGAGTACACTATGAAAGTACATGTATCATTTTCTTTTTTCCTATGTGGCAAAAAATCATACACATTGGGGATGCTATAAGATAGTTGGTATGATAGTGGGCCCACAAGTATTTGTTAAAAGAATAAAATCATTTCAGAAGAGGAATATATGGAGATAAATGAGATAATATTAAGTGCTAATGTAAAAGGTTTTGGTCTCACAAATATGAAATATCTTGCACCATGGTTAATGCTCTAAGAAGTTACGATATCTATACAGTCTGTCAAAATGTATCATATCTAAATGTTTAATGAAAATTATATTTATAACTAGTATTTTCCATGCGCGATGCGCAAAAATTAACACCCTATATTTATATTCTGTATTAAAATCTTAAATTTATTTAGATTTTAGATATATTATTGTATAATAATTATTATTATTATTATTATTATGTAAAAAAAGATAATGTTCATAACTACCTTCTCAACCTACTGAAGCACAAAGAACCAATATCCTACAATCAAGGTTCGATCTTATAATCTTCCCTCAAGGAGAGTCATAGAGATTCCATCTAAACACAAAGTACTTGGCATTAAAATATTGTATTTAGCTTTTATGGCATAATGTATATATAAAAAAAAAAGTAACAGAAAAAAAGGGACATAAACGAATGGTATAACTTTCATTCACTTAATAGTTTTTAGATTAGATTAGAATACTTCAACATTTTTTTTTTTTTGTAGGGATAATAATATTTTTGGTCCATCAATTGTTGATTATTATGCAATTTAGGGAAAATTATGTTATGCATCCGTGTGCACCATGCATGATACACACGGGTGCAAAAACGGCGTCGTTTTGACTAAAAACGCGTGTCTGACTTAAAAAAATAAATTTAGTTTCGATTCCCGTCAACAGCATTATGTTGTGCATAATTTGAACTATGTATCCAGAATGAATGAACTAATATCCAGAATGAATGAACTATGTATCCAAAATGAATGAACTAATATCCAGATTCCAGAATGAATGAACTAAATATCCAGCATGAATGAAAAAAAAAATCCAGTTCCAATTTCCGTCAACGACGTTATGTTGTGCATAATTTGAACTAAATATCCAGAATGAATGAACTAAATATCAAAAAAAAAAATTATGTCAGACATCAAAACGACGTCGTTTTTGCAACCGTATGGTGCACACGGTTGCACAGCAGAACGATTGTCAATTTAGTCTCTCATTTTTAATTTGTCATTGTGGTCCTCAAGATCAATTGTTTTACTATATGGTAAAATTAGTCTCTTAATGTGCAAAATAGTTAAATAGTCAATTTAATCCTTCAATTTTTTACTAGATTAGTTGGAACAATGGGATATCTATTCGTGTTTTAATTTTCTTTTTTAAATTAGTTACCATATATAATAATTACGGAGTACTTAAAAAAAAAAAGAATAATGTACGAAGAGAAAAAAATTGTGTTAGTAACTCAGTAATACAGAAAAAAAGAAAAAAAAAACATTGTATTTCCATTTTCCAAGATAAGACTAATCCAATAAGTGTTAGGCCGGACCTCATTCAGGAACAAAATCAGTTATTCCCCATTTCCTAGCAGTGACTCGCTGATTATTAATTCAGCCGTAATAAGCATTATCAATGTTGATTATTCGGTTCAAACCTAAAAACAAAATTCATAACAGCATACACTTTAATAAACATTTAATTCAAACGCAATGAACATTTTACCCAGAACTCATTACTCACCTTAGTGGGATGTGTCAAGCTCTCCCTGTGGTTGATTCCAAATGCTTCAGCTCCTCTAGTCTTCTTCTTCTTCACATTTGCAGATGCACACTACACACTATAAAACTCCATTCTATTTTATATATATAATTCATCTCAAGCTCTCATGTTCTCTTCCTAAAATGTTTTTTTTTTTTTTGGGCAAATATTCACTTATCTGTCACTCACAACACTTCAAGAAAAGTAAAAACGAGAAACGGGAAGGTAAGAGAGAAGAGAAATTCATAGTAAAGAAAGATACTTGTTGATCTGATATTGACCCACTATGCTGCAGGAGTATGGGCACGAATTTTTTAAGTACATCGTCATGAACATAGATTTTCAGGTGAAGATTTGTGACTATCTTATTGAACGATACTACTTTATACAGCATTTTACAAGTAGGAATACAATAATCTAGGTTATTATGCGTGGAGTAGCTAGAGCTGATTGAGCGTGAATTCTACTGTAAAAATTATGGGTTCTACTTGCCAACATCTAGACATGCAGAATAGTATGACATAAAAGAGAAAATACCATATCTCGGATGATTGTATCCGAGATACCAAAACCCCATATTATTGCCTATTTACTGCAGGAAACCCTCAGTGATCTCTCTCTTTCTCTCTCTCATTGCTCGGTCGTGGAGCAAGTGCATTTCTTCTGATGCTCGGTGAGTTCCTGTAACACATTAGGTTTCATTCAGGAATTCTAATTAGGCTTCAACACATAAAACAATTCCGATTCTTTCCCTAAAGAACTAAAACTACAAATTTATTTGTAACTAAAATTATTTGAAACAAGCAAGCCATAAGCATTACGTTTCCCAATACTAAACTATTCGGCAGTCTGTTTTAGTAAACATTGTATCTGTTGGGTGGAGGCCAGAGAAGGGTCAAGTCCAGCACCCAGCCTCTCGAGTTATAACTTTTGGCATAATGATAAGCACTTAATCCTAACAAGTGGTATCAGGTCACAAGTTTGAATCCCAGCAAGAGCAATTAAGACTGGTTGGTGCTGGGATGGGGGATTGTTGGGCGGAGGCCGGTAAAGGGCCATGTCCAGCACCCTCTAGAAAATGTGATGGCGGTAGAAGGAAATAAAGTTGCGCTTTCGCTACGAGCTATAGCTTTTGGCGTAGTTGTAAGCGTTTGATCCTAACAGAATCAATAAATTTCAAATTGCTTTAAGCATATGCGTGAAGTACCTGAATCTGCTTCTGTAGAAACTTGACATATTCTACTGCTTCTTCCAACATGTCAGCCGTATTAGTTTGCTGCATTTGGTAGAAAGACCTCAAAGTCACAGAGAGTATGAAACTTAAGCCAGATATTAAAAAGAAATATAATGAAAGCAGATAAAACTCAACCATTCTTCCTTCTAGCTTCTAGATTTAGCTAACACAGATGTATTATGCCCCACACAAAAGTAGGTTCAGGTCACAGTGTCACACTGCAAACAGTTGGGCAGGATGAAATCAAGCATAGCCAGAATGTCCAACTCAACAGCAAACATAAAAGAAGAAAAAGAAGAATATTTGAGTATGTGGACCGAACAAGGTCCCTAAGATTGGACCAAAGAATGCCATGTTGCTATAATGCACATGGGCCAAACCACACTAAAAAATTGAATTCAATCAATTAGCTAGTTTAACCCATGACCTTATAAACCCATGTGTTCTCTCTTATATTTTCAATGTGGACTCTTAACAGATTACTACAAAATTTTGGGGTGAAAAGGTGCAGTTTCTTAGCAAGGACTGATTATATGGCAAATTTATAATGCAGCATTTTATGTGACAGTGCCTAAAATCACAGTCAACAAAGGAAAGGTAACAGTTGAGCTATAATTTAAGCGTAGCACAGCCTCCTTGGGTCTGTGCGTGAATACTTCAATTAACTTGTCAAAAGTACAAATTGAACCAATGCCATGGACTAAGTGAAAAGAACTGTACAGCTCACATTTGTGTAATGATAAAACCAACTTCAATATTAATAATGAAGAGAAATTTATAGTTGAAGATCTGCATTTTTGTGATAAATGGTCTTGATCAGCTTGAGTCAAATACCATACAAAGTACTCGTAGCATTTTTTGAATGCTACTGACTCTATTACATTGTAGTATCTGTTCAAACATACTTTCTCAACCTAATAAAGCACACAGAGTCAACAACACCTCCACTGAGGCTCGACCTCCCACATCGGAAAGGTCACTACATGCCATCTGAGCACAAGGTGCTTGGCCCATACAAAGTAGCATAGTTTAATTACCTTATCCATATTAGGCACAAGCTCCTGAAGCTTCCTTATCCTGTCACTAATTCGCGTTCTTCTAACCTGTTCCCAAATTAAATGAAAGAAAATAACCTTAAGATAAATTGATTGTGAAAATATAACTAGTAAATAAAGGTATAAAATATTCATTGAAGAGTGAAGAGCAACATTAATGGAAACTAACTATCTTCCTTTTATATACTAATATTAAGTACAGCAGTTGAAATCCCCTCATCCGCGTCTTCAAGAAGTGTGTGTGTATGTTTGCGTGTATATGTGAGAGGAGAGAGAGAGAGAGAGGGAAGAAAGTAATACCCTCTCTGCAATACTTCGGGGATGGGTAGCACAACCACGCTTTGCTCTAACCCTGCATGGGACTAAATCTTCCATCATCTTCTCCATTTCTGCATCCAACGACCCACCAGCACTGCGTAATCGCCCACTTTGTTCTCCTTTCTTAAAGACATAGAACAACAAATAAGTAAAAATATCATAAAGTAATTTCAGGAACTGTATGGATAAAACAAAACACTAACATGAATTTACCAGTTATCATAATGACCGAAGATAAAGTGCATGGTAAAACTTAAGGCAGAAAACATTCTTTTTCCAGCCCTTCATGCTATAGCAATCCCACTCCTTCCCAACAGATGGGGAAAAAATAGAAAACATGTAAAAACTTTTTGGGCTCACAAAAAAAAGAAAATATTTGCAATACAAAAAAGCAACTACACTTGGTCTGATCAAGAATACAGATCTCTCTAAAAGAAATAATACAGAGAACCCAGATTTATACGCCTGTAGTTATGGAGTGTTAATCAATTATCAAAAGTAATTCCTAATTTCATGCATTATATAAGAGAATTACTAAAGTGCAAAGCAAATTTTTCTTCCATTAGAGGAAATTTTTATTCCCAGTGAAAACTTAAACAGAGCACTTGTGCACCACTAAAATTGAATGCTAACTCCAAAGATTGATCTTTTGAAATAATTTTGACTCAAAAAATCACAAGACCTTAAGAACTAGCATTAAGGCCTTTCTTTTCTTCTCCCCTGAAAGGGAAGTTAGAAAAGACCCAAACAAATAAATTTCACATTTTAATCCTCCTAATTCCATTTTTAGCTCTAATTTAGTACGGAGTATTAGTTAGTTAATCCAGACAACCAATTACATACACAATTGAATCATTTTCTAAGTCAGAATTAAGTAAAGTCACCAACCAATCATTTCCTAATGACTATCAAATCTTCATAACCAACCACAAAGCTAGCCTGCCAAAGTCTTGTAGACTAGCAGCAGCATAATTCCTTACCATTTTTTTCAACAACAAAAAAATAAAAATAAAAATAAAAATAATAAAAATAAAAACTATAAATATAGCATTTAAAGCTAGCTGAAAAGTTCTGAGCAAAAATGAACTTTAAAAAAAAAAAAAATAAGAGAAATTCAAATAGCATATATAAACTCGAGGAAAGTGTATCTTACCAAGGGAGATGATAATTTAGCGGAGGGGCTTTGGGAATCGGCCTCTCTGGGCCGCTTAGCTGACTGAGCCACATCCATGGGAGAAGAAAGGTAGTCGTAGCTGGGCGGAGCTCCGAAGCTGGGGAAGAAGATATCTGAGCTGATCTGAGAGAGAAACTCCGCCGGAGAGCTGTTCTGCCTGACGAAATTACTAAGTCCAGATGCTGCTTCCCCGCCACCGCCTCCGGACTCGAATAGGCCCAGATCGGCGGCGTATCTGGAGCCACTTCCGCCAACAGACGCCTGCTTAAGCTGAGCTGGTGGCGTAGGCAAGGGTTGAGAGTGCGGGTGCGGTGGAGGCTTGCTAGAAGAAGGAAGTATCGGAGGAGGGTCGAGAACGACGTCGTTTTCCGTGTCGGAATCCAGGAGCGCTTCCAACCAGGTCGCCGGAGCTGAGCGGAAGCGCGTCAGTCCTGCTCCTCGGCTCGGCTCACTTCCGCCGCCTCCGGCGCCACTCTCCGGCTGCATCGGTTACTTTCTATATCCGGATATATCGTTATCCCCGTTTTCAGGTGAATTTTGTGGTGTTACTGTGAGCAAGAGGCAAGAACCCGAGAGAGAGAGAGTGTGTGTTTTTTTGTTGCTTATACACTGTCGAACTGTAGAATATACGTATTTTTATCAGATTCCGTATACCAAATGTAGAATTTACTGTATTCGTACGTGTACGTATTGTCAGTGTACTGTCTATGTATGCTGGATTTTAGGCGGGTTTCTGGCCTATGTAATGAAGTATACTAAGACCGCGTTTGGCTACTCAAAATCGAAGTTGGTAAATATGTTTTCCTTCAAGTCTAAATGTCTAATCTATAAGAAAGATTTATGTCATGGTAAATGTGGATAGCAGTGCAAAAGGACGTGCATTTGAATGAAGCAATCTTGAGAGATAGTGATACTTACAGCCCCTTTGGTTCCCTTGACAAATTCCATGGAAAACAAATTACCAAGAAAATAGATTCTATTGTTTGGTTGGTGAAAAATAAATTACTGGGAATATGAATTCTATTATTTGGTTGGGTTTGTAATAGTAAGGAATTATGAATATAAAGAACAATATGCACTTAACAATAATATATACATGTGTAATTAATAAATTTTGATGAGGGTAAAATAGTCCAACAGTGTTATACTTTCTTCCTAAATCCTTTGGAAAACAAAATATCAATGTCTTGCTAGGATTTTGTTTTCCTTCAACTCCAGGGACTCAAATTCCAATGGAAAAGATTTTTCATCCAACCAAACAACATAAAACAACATTTTCATACACTTTTAGGAAAACATTTTCTATGGAATTTGACTTCCATCTAACCAAACACCCCCTTAATGCTTATGATAAATGGTATTTTTACCTTCTATAAATTTAATCGTATAATTTTAAGTGCATAATACTTATGGTGACCAATATTTTTGTCTTCTCTTATAAACTTAATTGCATGATAAATATTTGGCTTTTTATGCATAATAAAATTTACAAAGTCATAGTATTGTGTATTGATAAGTGATTCATCGGTAGTCATTAAGAAGGCTAAGAAAGGTGTAAGCAATAAGGATCCTCATTGTCGTCTATTGAAGGCAATTGGAGAACTATGTCATTATAACTAGTACTTTCTAACTGATATATTCACAAGGAGACCAATTTGAATGGAAATTCAATATGAGCGTTTACAATTTGGAGTGTGCTGTTTGAAAAATCATCTATTGGAATTGGAAAGCTCCCTTTTGTTGATACCATTGGTGTGTTGAGTTATAAATTTATGTAATTTGTCTCTGTGTGTGTGTGTATGTGTAATCATGTGAGGACAAGGTTTAAGTGCAAGTACGGATACACCATCAAGCATTTATCAATGCATTGTAAAACATTTTCAAATGCACTTGTATTATCTGATTCTCATTGATTATCAACTCTGGTGTATTTGAAAATATTTGACTATGATTGTAAATGCTTAACGATACACTTTAGAAATGTTTGGCTTGAGCCTCATTGATTGTCAACTCTCTCGGTAAAAATTTGCTCAACTACAATAGTTTAACACATAGCCCTATATTTAGCAATAGATAAGATTGTATATTCTCAAGATGCCACGTCACTTGATATTCCAATCAATCAAACTTTAATATTTTAATAATTTTCAAGAAGAGAAAATACTCCGTAATAAATTAGTTAAATGAATAGTAAATTATTTTCTCTATCCTCCATCAATATTAATTACAGCAAATGAATTTTTCCTCTCTACCTATCACATTTAACAATAGGGTAGTTATTATTGGGGGAAGAAGAATAGGGTAGTTATTGTTATTCTTTGAAGCCAAATCTTCAAGTCTCAATGAAATAAACTCATACTCCGTATATAGAACAGGCAAACACGCCTTTATATGTTTTGTGCTACGTATGTCAAGGTCACGTGTGGGATGGTTGGCGGTTTGCGGCGGGAGACGTCATCCGTGAACTTCCACTGAGAAATGGACAAAATCCCAGCCGCAAAGAAGCGCGTGAGATTCACTCCTATTAAACAACACCGGCTTCTGACACTTTTTACGGTCAACTTCGAAAATGACTCTCTTAATCATCCAATTTAATCTAGATCAACGGTGGAGAACGGTCTTATCTCCACACTAATTGGATTTGAACACCGCGCGTGGCGTGGCGCATGTGACTCGCCTAAAAAACATATTCTAGAAATCTCTCTTTTCTTTGGACGTTAAAAAATGGCAAATTTTAGGATAAGAGAATGAAAGAACAGAGTGGGTTACTTGAGTACGTACAACTTTTGTTTTATTGATTTATTTATACATTTCTAATTTAAAAAGCATACCCTCAAATCACAAATTTATTTTTCATATTTTTTTTAGAACGTTACAACAATATTATTATTTATTTTCTTAAATTAATAAATGACTTTTTACATACAACATTCAAGATTAAGATAAATTCGATATGAGTTCCACTTGTTAAATTTGACTTTTAGATTTTACAAGTGCATTATCAATCTTCTTACCAATTACTCAAATCCACTTATTTAATTAATAACTGAATTTTGTTATAAATATATTATTGAATGACCATTATCATTGAGGCTTTTCATTTGCCCTATCTTCAACTCCCTCATTATGTTAGGAAATGAAAGGTTGTATTATTTTGTATATATATACATGTTGAAGGATGAATAAGATGAGCCTTTTTGAAGTTCTTATATCATGTGTTCTACTATTCTCTCTACTCTCCCATTCCATATTACAATATTGTTTATACGTATAATTGGCGCGTTACCGTACAACAATCTCGGTAGATTGAGCTAATCAGTAGGCCGAATTACAACACGTTATCAGCACGAGCCTCTATCGTAATCTCCGGCGAACGGTACCATTGGTTCATTTTTCCTGTGCATTTTTGTTTTTGAATTATATGCCATTGTTTATATATAAATATTATGTGTATATATGGCTATGAGTTTGGTTTGGGACCTTCAATTATTGTTTCTATGAAATGAGTGATAATTCTTCATGTTTGTTAACAACTTTTTAGTAATGAACTCATCATCAAGACATGGTTAAGAATTTGGGTAAATATTTGAATTTGTAAATACATATTATTTACCCAAATTCTCTCAATTCATGTATATGAGTTAGGTTCTACATATGTCATGATGCTTTGAAATGGTAAATACACGTGGTTATATGTTAAATTGAATGTATATACGTGCAAATGTAAATGTGTTCATTTGTATATATACATATGGGTTAAATATACACGTGTTTGATATTTACCAGTGAAACAATGATTCTTGCACTATTCTCCATTATTGGAATTTACTATATTCACTTAAAATGACTTCATGACTTACGAAAAGATAATATTTACTATATTGATCTTGTAGATTGATTATGTACTATTCTCTATTTTTGGCATTTATGCTTCTTTTGAAAAATACATATAAACTGACTACATGGAGAAGTATGAATCTATATGAGAACATGTGAAATATTTCCTTTTCACGTTCTATTGGAAATCTGCTTACAAGACATGTTTTTCACATGAATATCAACTACTGTTTCTGTAAGTATAAGTTGCATCAAATGATGATCTTGTAGATCATACCTTTCATTGAAAATGTGAATTTATTAAGATCACTTATGAATGAAGCAGTTAGTTAGCTTGGGCTCTTGATATTGAAATATATTCGGCATCTAAAGAATTGAGCCAAGTTTTTTGTTGCTAAGTCACAGAGCACCGATGCCCAGAAGGCACAAGCTCTCATTTTCACATGTCACCACTTGAACCACGATCTTAAAAATGAGTATCTGATTGAAAAAGAACCCATTGAATTAATGGAAGTCCCTGAAGGACTATTCCGACCAAAAGTCATCAAATGTTCTTCCCCAAGACACAGTTTGACTAGTTTAATCTCATGTTTAATTTTGAGATTATAATGTAAGTCAGTGATTAATTACAATTCAGCTATGCACAAAATAGTCTCGTAAGTGAAACTCTAAACAAGAAGTTTCAGAGAAATATTTAATTGGAAAGACATTGCCAACTTTTCATGCGAGTAATTTGTACTCCAGCAGTAGTACAAGACAACAAATTATGAGAAGCATTCTAAGCTGATTTTAGCACTCTTTGTGGCTAAGAAACATAACTAGTTGTTGATGAAGAATCAAAATGCATGTCTGGTCGGTTTTTACACAGGTGCCTGAAGCACATAATGTTACCCAGTTGAGCAACTTTATAAGGGGTTGCAGTCGAAATTATAACCGGTGTGATATGAGTTTCGAGCTCAGAATAAGAAACAAAGTGGTCAATATATTCAAGGACGACCAAACTCATCGAGGCAAAATCCTAGCCAGAAGCAGGTTTGCTAACAATTTGGGTGCATTTGGTCGTCGAAGAATGCGCATCATCTTGATGATTTTAGGTAATTTTCCGGAAGCAAATACTGTGATACATGATGATAATGAAATGATGAGGTATTGATGAAGAAATGATTGGTGTCATGATAATGTTTGGGTAATTCATGAAAATATATTCATGGATAAAAAGGTTAGTTTATGCCTGAAGCATGAAGCATCTGAGAAGTTAACTCATGCTTGAAGCATCTGAGAAGTTAGTTTTTGCCTGAAGCACTCGAAAAGTTAATTCATGGCCGCAATAACTGATTGCGTAACCGAGTAGTATATACACTCCAAATGTGTTTTGAGTGCAAAGTTATTGTTTTGGATGCAAATTATTATGAGGGCAATGTGATTTTACTTTGCTGATTTTACTACTTGGATTAAATATTCGAAATTTACTATTCGGGAAGTTTACTCCTCAGAGTTACTTCTCTTAGTTTGCATGCTTATTTATGGAATTTTTTTCTCATGCATGCAACATGACCCTCATATGGAATTGACTGGTTGCTAATTCAAGATTGAATTATTGTCAATCCCGGAAGGATTGCTATTATCAACAAATTATGAGAATCTTCTTTTGACTAAATTTATGATGTCAACATGACTAAATTCTCTCAGAATATGACTTAGTGCAATTCTGTGTTGTTTAGGGATTTGTATACTCCTTTATAAAAATGATCTTTGACT